TTATACCATAAAACATATTTTTCTATGAATTGAAAACATAATTACACTATTAGTTAACAAATGTCAAACGTGTGTGTGTCAAGACAAAGGTCAGGGTTTAATGTTTTTAAACGACCACGTTTCATCTAGGAAACTAGTGACATGAGAGTGGTATCGGATGGAAAATATCAAGAAACATTTGCGCAGAAAAATACCAAACAGATGTTGCTGAACGTGATACAGCGACCTTCTCTTTTTATTCCGTCGCTTGACAAATCTTTCCTTGATTATGGATCATGACTTCTTTTGTGATTTGAAATAAACTTTCTTGTACGTTAAAATACATATTATATCTAACAATGCAACCGAAGCTGTATAGGTGTTATTAGTTTTTAGTCTACTGCGCATTTAGTCAGGGTGGAAACTGAAATTTATAGTGTTTTCAAGGAATAGTTTGGTTTAATTACCAAAAACTAGGCTTTTACGATGGACGTGTGTTTGTTGGTGGCCGTGGAATGACAACACGCTTTCAGTATTGCCCTTGAGGTGAATCATTTCACACTAAATTTATGGTGAGGAAAAAAGGATCCACGGGTCAATGACAGTTACCGCCATAAAAATGTTCAAAACAATTTTACTACCAATAAAAATGGTAATTAATGCAAATTCTATTAGTGACAATTGAAACAATACATTAAACTGGGCGTCATCGAGTTTTAAAAATATTCACATATACAATAAGCCATATTTAATAATTTTAATTCAAGCATGACGGAGTACAAATAGTGAACTTTTTTATTATACTGAAATTATATACGATTTCAATATAGGCCTAACATTCAGCTATAAATAGAATGACCATTTTCTTTATAACTCTTACCATAGAAGAGAATCAAAATATTACCGACATTAACTCTTTGATTTATTTTCAAACAAAATAAAAAGATTGAAAGGTGAAAAACATCGTTCAACTAGTTACTAAGGGACAGTCAGCCTTCTATTGACAAAGTACTCGAGTTGTCCCTTGGAAATATTTCAGTCCTTACAGCAAAGAGGCGTAGCCAGGAGGACTGGGCAAACACGGCCTTGATAAGGACGTTCTTTACAAATAACTAAATCAGAGGGGAAAAGGTCGTGTTTAGGCGGGTTGAATAAATGCAACGTATACTGAAACTTCCGTTATCTAATTTTGAGAGTTTAATGGATAAATAAACAATATGTGGTGTGAATGCAGTCTTTTAGATAGTGAATGTTTGTGAAGGAAATAAATTATTGAATAAAAGATTTATTTTGGATTAATAATATTTTAAGACTTTAGGGAATCAGTTCGAGGTTAATAAAATGAAGACTTTCAGCATAGGCCTACTCGTCTTCAATATAGTACAAAATTAAAGCTCGTAAACAATGCTATAAAAAGAAATCGAAATACAAAGGTGTTTGATACCGTTTATTTTACACGTAGTTAGGGTGTTTTAAATATAAATAAATTACCCATTTTCTCGTCTTTGAATACAGATTAGAAAAATGTATCCCACCTAAAATCTTAAGATACGACAACTGTAACACGCAAAGAAAATGCAGTACTTGTCATTGTACCATTTAAATGCTTCTGTTGCATGTTAAGATCGTTTCAGGAGATGAAACATGTTTAATGTGATTTGTACTTTCGACAATATAAACACTCACCACTCACCAGCAACCACGAATACTTGAACAGAACCGGCATGGATCATAAACAAAAAAATTACGTTGCTGACCCGAGTCCTATACTATTAAACATATGATCTAGACAGTTCCATAAGCAAATTTAAATACTGTTCAATTTCGGGCCATTAAAATCATGTTACTACAGCCACCTGACAAAGTGGCCTTCCTTGCACTGATTATAAAACAGAAAATTGATAATTACTTGAATCTACTTACTTTTATTTCACAGTTTTTTTTTGTTGCACACCAGTATTCCAACCAAACAACAAAAAATGCGTGCTTTTTTATGCGTGTCACGTAATGCGTGTGCGCTTGAAAATGAGTTGGCAACTTTTAAATATATTTCGACTACGATCAGCTGGTGCAGCGTTTCCCATTTCGTTCAATGTTTGGATTTAACCTAACCTAAAAATATATTGTACAGTGTTTGAAAGACAAACTATCTCTATGCTTTATAGTGACTGTAGGAAAAATTGTGTAACGCGAGTGCAAACTGCCTATGCTGCACTCGAGAAACTTTCCACACTTGCCTACGGCAATAATTTAAAGATCACTATTATTAATAAATCATATGTCCATCAATACAAATTTGGAATGAAAATAGCATTTCTCATTATGTCTTTTCAAATACGCATTTTAAACGATTCCAAAGAAAAAGGTCAACTCCGTCTTCCAGCTGGTGATAGAATATATTTGTTCGCAAAGTCAAATATTTGCCCCAATCCATTAAACTCATCAACAATGCTCTTTGCTAAACTTCACAGTTGACCTGTCACTATCCCTTTGCCGAAATACTTGCTCGCGTCTCTGTTTGCACTACAACAGACGTGTTTGAGCTCGTCTGTTTGCTTCTGTATTCATCGCCCTCTGTCTTTCTGCGACTGGCTGTTTGTCGGGCTCACACTGTTGAATTTGTTACTAGAAACTCGCTTGATTAAATGTACTGTGTCTTTTGTCGTTTGGTTGGCTCAGAGGTTTTGTGTTTGATTAGGGAAATTGCACCGTTTATGGATTGTGTGAGGAAAAAGACTGCGTAGAATAGGTTTATAAAGTACGGACGAAGTAAATTTAACCTTAATTCAAGTTTACTAATAAAGAAAAGTAACGCGAGGTAAATCAACGACTGAAATTATTTGGAGCCGATCAAAAATAGTTTTCTTTATAAAAATATTTGAGTCGAAAATATTATAAATAGTATATTTCGTACCTAGGGCCGAAAATGGGGTTTTGCCGGCTCGAGATAGTTTTTAAGTTCGAGACGAAGTCGAGAACTTAAATCGATCGAGAGCTGCAAAACCATTTCGGTCCGTGGTGCGAACGCTATTTTTCATCACACTTTACCCTATTACCACTATTCACCACTATAATAATGCACACTGATAGTCAACACAACTACAACTATAAGGTTATGTGAAGAAAAATTTGAGGAATCAGCAAAAATAAAAATAAATTGTTGCTAGGCAACGGTGACAATAACACAATTCTATTGCAATGCTATGGATTTTGATTGTGTATTTAAAATGCATTCATGTTTTAAGTAAGTAAGCAGACAGCTGATTTTGCGGCCCCGGCCTGTAAAAACCTGCTCGGTCCCCAAATTACGATGACAGCTGGCATGGCCAGCAAAATGTAACTTTCAGCCACCAATTAACGTATGTAATACAGCCAAAAACATCATAGTGTGGTGAAAAATAAATTCCTGTCGAACTGACAGGAATTTATACATATGAATATTTACCCATATCTTTTATCAGTCTTATTGTGCATCAAGTTACAAAAATGTACTTGCTTCGTAAACTAACACTGCAATGTATTAAAACTAAATTTCCTCTCAACATTGAAGTCTCTTTCCCGTCAGATTTTTACTGCGATAATAATAAATGTCTAAAGATAACTTAATGTGGTCTAACAATCTTAGTTAAACATTTGCTTTTAAAAGCGACCAATAAAAGTCTATTGTTTGGAAAACATAAGGAAAACTATACCTACGTTTGAATATTATATTTTCTAGCCTAACAAATAATTACGCAAAATTTTCTGGCATGCATTTGGTTTCTAAAATTTAATTGCCTACAAGTAAATATTGGATATAATTTTTCTACATTAAGCTCAAAATAACTGATTCTCAGTGGTCTTCAATAGTTTAATATGAAATATACAGCATTACAAAAGCATTTTTAATCGAATATTAACTTACCGTTAGTTAATTGACTTAAAACAACCAGAGTGGCTCAACTTAATCAATATATTATGCGCAAAGCAATAAATTTTGCTAGGGATATGGGGATGACATATGGGGCTTTAAGTATTTAAAATAAACCAAGATCTACGGTGGGTCTGTCGTATAATTTTGGCTCCTTGCCTTGCATCTCAGATTACGTTTGGTGAATTTCAAATTCGTATAACCATTAACAGAAATAATATATTGTTGAGTTTTTATTATTTATACAAACTCTACGCGAGTTAAAAACATAAAAAAGTTAATTTATTTTGCCCATAGAGCTATTTTAGATTTAGAAGCAATGCAACAGTTGTTGATGGAAGCTTCAATTTTTGTTTTTAATAAACATATACAGAGTGTATGATTAATTTTGATTGAGTATACATACTTTCTGGCTACTTAAGAAATTATAGTTTAGTCCTTGTGAAAGTTTCCTAGAATAGAAGTTGTTTATAGAACAGGTTTAAGTGGTCTATATGAAGTTTCTCCTTTATCCGTATTCACTAAAATGCAGTTATATCCCAGTATTTATTTTAGATTCGTCCAACTAACAATAAAATTGAAAACATTTAATAGTTTTAGCTTTTATCATAAAGTAATAAATGTTTACAACGCAAAATGTATCGTGCTTATTTCTCTGGTTTGGTGTAAAAATTAAATAAGCTTGAAATCAGAGGAATTTTAAAGATTTTCTTTTTTTTTAAAGAGCCTGTTTGGTTGCCCACCATTAATTTATCATAGGTTTATAAGATTGGAAGTGGATGGATTTTTATTTCAATTGAATTATTTAAATATAAATTAAAAGTTACATTGTAATTGGACAGATGCCTAAAATGTATACAATTCGAATAAATAAATTAATATAGTCCAATCGTCTTTATGAACAAAACCCTTATAACCTTTCTTTATTAGATGCACTTTTTTGTCATATAAGCAAGAACTTAAAAAATCTTTAATGTCAAAACAGTGCAATGAAAAATCTCTTAACATATAATCGAAAAAAAAACTGACATACTAGGTTATCTTTAATGTCTGTAAAATTGAAAAAAATCTTCTCTAAGCTGAATTTATTCCTGTATTCCCGCTGTTCCAGATGCCCATGAAGCTACTGGAGCAGTCGTCGGAGTCCCGGACGCGGGTGTACCGGGAGTACGGGATGACGTCCCGAGGAGTCAGCCAGGATATCACAGCTCTCAAGGAATGGCTGGCGAAACAACCACATCTGCCCATCATCAGGGGAGGTAAGGAATAGAAAAAAATGTATGCTCCTAGGTTAAAGGTCTACGTGAGTTTAAGCTTTGCCTTTTAGATTAAATACATTGAAAATTTCCAATTATAAAATCTGAAAATGTATCTTTAGATTTTAGTAATGTGTTGTATATGTGATTTTTTTTTTGTCCTAGGACGCTAGGCACGAGCCTGGGATTGTTTTTCACATTACTTCAGGCTAGACCTAGGGGTTGCGGCATTATCACTTAGATAAAATCCATTGGTAACTTGACGGGGATCGAACCCGGGACCTCACGGACTGAAGTCCCGCGCTCTAACCACTACGCCAGCTCGCTCCCCCGTATATGTGATATTAGAGATGATATAGCTCACAATAAGATGTCCTTATAGTTTGGTTTTATTGCAAGTTTTAGTATTTGACAGAAAGCAGTAGTGTACACTAGCGCACGCTCTCGGTAGCTCAATTAAACTAAGTTAATTGTTATTGTTAAGCTGTTTAACGCGGGATTTTGATATATTTATATACAAAATTTAAAGGTTTAAGCCAACAATAGTAATTTAAAATATACTTAGGTACGACGTTCAAAATCCCGAGCATTAACTTAGATAACTTGATGAATACAAGAGTGGGTACAGCCTAAAGAGTTTGGCGGTATATTTTAACTCTGCATTCGCCCATCCACGTAGATCTTGGGCCGTGTATCCAGCAAAGCAGGGGGTGAGTCGGTACAGTGCATGAATGACTTGCAGGACAAGAACGCGAACCTACCACATCGCTGCCCAAGAATTGTGGTCAAACACATTACCGACTGATCCGAGGAAAGAAATGTTCTTCAATATTTAAAGTACAAGTATTTAAGGAAGGAAGTACTATTGAGTAAACCATTAAAGTACAATGATTTCAAAGGGTTTTGCATTAACCAAAACTAAATGAAAACAACAAAATATATTAATTTACAAAAACTCGAGAAATCAAAGAAGGCTGCACACATAAATATACACATAAAAATATTTGTCATGCATAAACTAAAAAGTACAACTTAATCTAGAGAACATTTTTCTCAAATAAATTTGAAACCCTCTCCAAGGAGTTTAGGGTGTCAAGAGACTCTAATTGGGATACATTCATCAAACAATCTCGCGGAAGCCTGTGATAAATAGCTTGTCCTTATCAGAAACTCCTGCTGCAGATAGCTAAGACACCCTAAAGATAAATCTGTCTCAGCTTACTTCTGAAACCGTATATCATAATCACTTCAAACGGGATTGGAAACTGGATCGATTATAAATTTGTCTACTTTGTGAAGTGGGATTTTCGATGGCTGTTGAGGAGTAAATGATTAGAAATTTTATCATTTATGTAGTATAGGTAGTAAGTAAGTGCTCGTTTTTATTTTTTCCAGAGGATAAGTTTTTTTATTACGTGATAAATAATAATCAAACAATAAAACCGTCTTAGATAAATGCAGTTTACATTTAATTATACATTTTTGTTTGTAAGTACGTAATAATAAACTAGTCTCATATTTGTTCAAATATTCTAGAGAGAATAATTTAAAAAATGCGATCGTTCATTCCAATTTTTAATACTCGAAAATCTATAAATGTTCAACAACTCTAGCTTGTACGTACGAAATGTTTGCGTTTTAATAGAAAATTATTCCAATGGGTTCACAGTAAAAAAAAAACAAAAAAACAGACAGTCAGTGGCTAAACAGTCAATTGTGTTATGAAACTATCAGACAACAAGAAACATCTATAGAAATCGATCAAACACACACCTGCATATACAGTAAATATCACACACACGTCGACAGACTGATAAGTTACTAATTCATTTTGCCCTAAATCCCCATAGCATTTTGCACTTCGTGTGAGAGGTTTTGGCCATCACACTCAAATTGGTATTGAATATCTCATACGTTTATATGAGTATACAGTCAAAATCTAGTATAATGTCCTTAGGGGCATTATAAACAAAAACTATGAAGTTAAGTATTTTCTTTTGATAACAGTTCACAATAAAGAATTGAAGTTTAAGGACCCATGACCTATTAGAGCAAGGTGAGGCACACCATTAGACTCCTATTTGGATAGCTTTTACAACCTCAAGACCAAACCAATCATTAAGCAACAAAACTGAGTAAAACCCTTTAAACTATTTTGATTTCCTTATGTCACTGACCATGACCTAAATTCATTACTAATTTGGAGTTCGCAAGATCTAAGCATTTCACTTGCCTTCCATGTGTCAGTGTAGTTTGCAACGACCACTTCACGTGTGCACTTTGACAGAACCGGACCAAAGAGCACGGCACATGTGGGACAAGGACAAACTCCAATGGAGTCCGTTGACTCCAAGTTTCTTCATAATGGCAACCTCCTGCTTTAGGATTGACATAAATTGTAGCTCTAGCCAGAAGATTACCTGGAGAACTCGTTATATCTGAAAATCCATTAAGATTCACTCCTATCTTCTCCAAGTTTTAGTGTCGAAAGTCCAATCGTGGAATTTCTTTTTGCTTATCGGTTATTCTGTCAATATTTTGTGAGTTGACATATTTACATTTTTGTGTCAAAGGAAGATTTTTGATTATTACTTATTACCATTTAAATAGGGAACAACTGGTCTATTTGAACCCTAGGAAGAGGGAAGGATGCGTATTGCGTGTAGAATAAATTGAGACGCCTTGTGTAGCTGTGTTACTGACTTTTGATTCTGACCAACTGTTACCAGGCCTCTATAATAAAAGCTCAACGTTCAATGACAGCTTGACCTAGTTTTAAACTATCATAAACTTTATATTAAAAATAGGATCTACCCTTCCTATATGGTAAAAAGGTCACAATATGATCAAACGTTTTTGATAAGGACCAAGTTTGTTTCTCAGTTTGCATATTATTATCATATTAGAAAGGCATTTTTATTTTTCGAACATCAAGTCCGCTTATTTTAAAACCTTATTTGAGAGCTGTTTTCACCTAAGTCTACGATATGAGTTATGTTTTTGTTTGTCCAATTTTATGGTTGTTGACAAAATTGACCAAAATGTTATAGCTGTTCAGCTGTCGTTATCACCAGGTGCAGTTTATGAGGCATCAAACGACCAACATATTTTGAGGCTGTAAAACTACCGTTAAACTATAATACTGTTATTGGGCCGGAAACTTCCATTAGTATACATTAAAGTGGTTCTATTCATCGGAAATTCACCAAATATCCTTTGGCTGTTCAGTACTTTTTGCATAGCATTGATTTTATAACGTTATGAAGTAATTGTTTCACTGGTGACTTAGGTAACTAGGTATGAATAATATAGGACCTCTTCAGTGGAAGGGGATACGGTAATTTATTTCACTATAGTGGAAATTGGTATTGAATGAGCACACCCACTAAAATAAACACACTTTACAAACATTAAAGTATTGTAAACGCACCCAAGTGTACGTAAAACGTTTTAAAGGATTCATTGATTGTACTAATTGGCACTAACAGTCTTTAAACACTTGGTTAAAATCACCGAAGTATGCACAGCGCGAACGCACTATAGACCCGAATGTGTGGACACATATGGCACGAACTCTATGACGTACACTATGATGTTCTATGGTTTAGTGTAAGTGACCGGAAGTAGGTTAGGTGGTGGCGGAAGTCAGCTGACCGTGTTACTGTTACATGCGTCTACTTTCACTTCAACGCGACGCGCGGCAGGTCCCATTGAATCATAGGACTTGCTCCTTGGAAGGGGGGAGGGGGAGGTTGGACGATTATACGTACAAGTGTTAACAAACTGTTCGCCAACTTGTTAAAACGTTCTTTAAGGCTGAGCCTCAAACCCTAAACTTTCGGCCAAACCTTAAGTTAAAGCCTATAAAAGGTCTTAACTACAGACGTCTTTGACGGTACACCGATTTCGATTACATATTTTACCTCCAAATATGTGTTTTACCGTGTTATGTTTTTTAACCCCTAACTAAACAATTGCTGTAACAAAATTTGTATTCCAAAAAACTTTTGGGTTTTCTGTCCAGGATAGAAAACAAATTCAGTAAAATACAAGTTAATCATAAACACGTTTGGTATAATATACATAAATCTGGCGATTGCAGACAATCAGCGAATGTAACATAGATTGATTATACACAGCGGCGCTTCCGTGTTTAATACTTCGGATGAATTGGGTTCATCAAACGTTGAACAAGCTGATTTATCTAGCAATTTACTGATGAATGAGGAGACGCAAAGACAGTAATGAAAACATATCGATCGATACTTGCCCTTTAAACAGAAAGCGGTTGAAACGAAAATATGAGACTGTTTAAATGGAAATCCATACTGAAGTTCATTATTTTTTCACTATAGTGAGTTCATAATTCAGTTGATACATAGTAAAAGGAACGTATCAATTCATTTACTTTCGTGCAACTACGGTGATTAAAATTAAAAAAGCTTCGGAAATCATATAAATTTATTTTAATGAAATTTAAAACAATAAATTTTACATCTACCCGTTACCGAACGCGTTATTAAACTATAAAGCAAAAACTTGTGTAAGTGCGATAAAACAAACCTTAAAGTTGTATTCTGCTTTATGCAACACATGATTTTCTCTACCCAAACATTACTGAAATATAACATATAATTTTGGCGAAACTTATAAACATAGTCGCAGCCAATATAAGGTTATCAAATACAAACATCAGTTAAACAGACGTATAACCTTTATGCCAATCCATTTATCAATCGAGTTTTGTTTAGTAGACAAATGCTAGCTTGTCAATTAAACATTTATCGTTACGTAAAATTGCGTCCATTCGAGACCCCTTGCACATAATCCTCAATAAAAATATTAAATGACACAGTTTTCTCATGATATGGTTATGGTTGTGGAACCATCATCATCAGAAACTGAGATGATCAGGAGACCCGGGACTCCAAACTTCTGATAAATGCCTCTCTGGGGAGACATTCTTGACAACCCCTATCCAGCATACTGCGGATATTATCCCG